CTAGCGCACCGATCTGCGGACCGGGCACCTAAGTCGTAACGGCTGCGGGCACGACTTGCCGTTGCGAGTAAGCGGAAAAAACACATTACGACCCGTCGAGAAACCGAAAACCCAAAACCCTAAACAGAGTGGGTGGGTGCCACAGCTGCCCAAACCCCAAGCCGAGTGGGTATTAGCGAAAGTCTCAAACATTCAAAGGACTCCAAGAAGACCGAAGCCGAAACTCGCTGGCGCAAAAATCCCCCAAGCCCTCAACGGAGTGGGTGCCACAACCCAAACCCCGAACCAGGTGAGTGTGGGCAAACTTTAAAGGACTCCAAAGGGAGTGGGTGAAAAGGACCGGCAGCACGAAGACCCAAATTCTCATGCGAGTGGGTTGCGCGAAAAACCAAAATACCAAAAGCAGTGATGAATTTTCAACCCGAGAACCCGAAACCCCAAATGTCGAAATGGAGTCAGCGGCGCGAAACCGAAAACCCTTGCAAGGAGTAGCTGGTGCGAAAGTCCACAACCTGCCACAACCCAAACACTAAACGGTGTGGACCAGTGCCATACTCAGGGAATGTGTGTAAAAGAAGGACTGCACGAAGACCCAAAACCCTAGCTTTTAACTGGGGTGTGTTGTGCGAAAAGCTCCAATCCTACAGGAAGCGACTAGTTCCTGAATACCCGAAAACAGAAACGGAGCCAACGGTGCGAAATCAGAAACTTTGCAAGGCGAGAATCCAAAATGAGTGGGTAAGTGGCCCAACCCAACCCCTAAACGGAGTGAAACCTTCAACAGGCCCCAAACTTGGGTCAAAAGGAGGGGCAGCATAGCACGGTGGGTTGTGCGAAAAGCCCAAATCCTAAACGAAGCGACCAATGCCTGAAACCCCTAAACCCTAAACGGAGTCAGTGGTGCGACACCAAACACTCTTGCATTATAAGTAGCTGGTTCCAAAATCCAGAACCCAAACCCGACACGGAGTGGGCGGATGTCACAACCGAAACCCGAAACGGCATGGTGGTTGGCGCGAAAATCCAGAAGTTAGGATTGGGTGGGTACCACGACCGGTGGTCGGGTGCGAAAGCCCCAAACATTAAAAGGACTCCAAAAGGAGTGGATGAAAAGGAGGGACAGCACGAAGACCAAGAATCCCAAACAAGCGGGCTGTGCCAAAAGCCAAACCCTAAAAGGAGCGAGCGACTCCAAAAAGACCCTAAACCCTAAACGGAGTAAACCCAAACCCTAAACGGAGTTGGGCCGGTGTGACAGCCTCAAACATTCAAAGGGCTCCAGAGGGAGTGGGTGAAAACGTGGCGCAGAATGAAAACCAAAAACCTCAAACGCAGTGCAAAATCGAAAACTGCACAAGGAGTAGTTGAGTAGTTGGTGCGGAAGTCAAAAACCCAAACCCTAAATGGACTGGATTTCCGACCGAGTTCGGCGGCTCGCGTGATACTCATTTCTCAACTTAGAAGGAACCCAGTCTGAGTACAACTCACCGCCTCAACATCAGCCGGCTGTGGGCGCCGCAGTCGACCCTGGGATGGGCTGTGCTGACCAAAAGTTTTTCGTTGCTTCGCTCTTCTAGCAGCTGAGGGTCCAGTGCATTGAAGACTAGACCTCAGCTTTAGGCGGTTTCCCCCCAGACCAGATGGGTAGAGAGGCACATCGAGGCACCCGCACAGCGTTGCTGGCGTGGCTTCTGAAAGCAGCGGCTCCTGCTTCGCAGCTCTTCGCACAGTCAAGGCACAGCCGTTTGCTGCACTCCGCTTGGCCTCTGAGAGGCTTACAAGAAGACTTCGCAGAAGCGCCTCCCAATCAAGGAGTCGAGGAACTGCAAAGTCGTTTTGAAGAGAAACAGCTGGGCATAAATCGTGGACACGATGGCGAAGTGTCAGTGCAGCGCATGGCCCACCGCAATCTATTGCCTCGTCCAGATAGTCGACGGCGCTTAGTGCATTGAGCACTGCGCCAACATCCTGCAGAAGCCCATTGTGTAGTGCTCCGGGAGCCCCAGCAGCAGCTAGCACCAGGCAGGGCAGAAAACACCACCAAGCGATTCGTTGGCATTAAAGTGAACTGGAGCAGTTCAAGGTTCCCGAGCAAGCGGCAGAGAAAGTTGACAGATCTTCTAGCGAGGTGCTCGGCCACAGCTTAACAAACGAACAAAGACAAAAAGTGCTGACATCGGCGTTGCAGCGTAAGCTGTTGGAACCCAGCGGCCCTCTTCGCAATGCGTCTTGTTGCACTAGTTTCTCTTTTCTGGACATGATACGTACCAACTGTCTGCTTCCGGCCTGTGCCCGAAAGTCCAACTGCGCTTCCAGTAACCTGAGCTGCTACTGATCACAAGTGAAGCACCAGTACAGGAAGGCCTATGAGGTCATCAGCACTGCCGAGGCACCACTCTGCCAGAACCGGCCACAAGCGACTGTGTCCTTCCGATCAATTCCCATCACATTTCACGCTCGGCATGTGGAGCATTCGCAAATGCAGCAGTTCACTGCATCTGAGCAGCACACGAATCTTGAAGTGTGCAAATGCATTCGCCAGAAGCAGCAAGGTTACCTGTGAACTTTTATAGGACTCCCCGCCAACGACACATGGACGGAGTCCAGCCCAGATTCTGAGCTTGACACATGATTCAGTTCATGTGGTCGACGAAGAACCTCCCCGTTGACTGTGTGGTGTGGAGGAGCAGCCGGAAATCACGAAGCCTCGTCCGCGATATCATCAAAAAGCAGGTCGTCTCGGATGTCCATACGAGCATAGGCATTGGCAACCTCAGAGTCACGAAAGGTACGACTGGGAGACGACATTGCGTGGATTGCCGTTACATTCAAGCTCCAAACCACTCCAAGCTGGTATCCTTCAAAAAGGGGAAGCTTGTGCGGCCTCAGACCCAGAAGACGTCCATTGCAGACTGAACAAGGAATTTCTCAGAACAGTGCATTTCGGTGGCCATTCGCCGGAACAGCACCTGTCGCTTACTAGCCTCAAATCACGCCTCCAAAGCTGGCAGCAAGCTGCATCGCAATAGCAGTTCGAGCCTCATCATGCTCCCGCAGTTTCGAATATGCGCCACAAGTCCGACTGATGTCAACAGGTACAAACCTCAGCGCGCTCAACACTTGGGTATCTGCGTGGGGTGTGCAGCAGCGTGCAGGGCCGAAGTCGAACCCTCTGAGAGCCCTGCTGCGGTAGTCGAGGCATCATGCGCTTGCTGAAGGATTTCAACATCTGCATCCACATCGATTCGATACTGTCAACACAGTCAAAACGCCGCAAGTTGTCGGTTAGCTGGCTTCGCTCTTGGTCTTATCATTCTTGTTGTTGATATGGTTGTTGCTAGCTACTACGAAAGCTACTAACCAAATCAGTTCAGTATGACGATTGTTGCCAGCATTACTACCATTGTTGCGGTTATGACTATTGTTACCACTGACTACTATTGCTATGAGTACTACTCTCACGATTCGTAGACTTTGTTACGATTATTACTACTATCACTGTCACACTCTGTTGAGTATTTCTGCTATTCTGTCTTCCTTGTTGCTGTCAGTTTTAGTTCATTACATGTGATGTCGTCCTTCATTTGGCTTTTTTTGGTTCGTTCTATGGTTCTTTCTTTCGTGCTTTATCTCTCAAAATCTTTCTGCTACTGAATGATGGATGTAGTTTTGCGACCCCTTCTTCATGTACCTGTTTTGTTCTAATTTCGCTCGTTCGTTGCTTCTGCTGTGTTTATGTGTTTCGTTCTTTCTGTCGTTATGCAGTTCTTCTGTCCATCATTCCGGACTCTATTCCTTTCTCCGTTCTTTCGTTGTTTCTTTCGTTCGTTCTTTCTTGCTTTCGTGCATTCTCTGTCTCCCGTTTCTGGGGCCGAGGAGCATTTACGGAAATCGAAGCACATGTCTCTCCGTTCAATTTGCGATTCGAAGCAGGAAGCTCTCCGGAAGTTCAACTGTATCTCTTGCATGAAAAGCAGAATGAGTGCCGGAAAGGAAGCGATCGGTCCTGACCCCTGTCGGCCCTGTCACCCCTCACCAGACCGGTGGCCTTCTCATGCCGATGAGATGCCCGAGCAAAGGCATTCAGAATCAACCCAAACCTTTGGATGCGGGCATGCGCTGTGAGGGGTGCTCTGAGTCGGTCCAAGATAAGCTGGCCACTGGTTGGGCTGCAGCTGTGCAGCCAACTCTTCCGCTCTGTCCGCATATCTGTCCAGCCTGGACACCCCAAGCATCTTCGATGCGCGACATTGATTGCTAGCAGGCCAAGACGCAACTCTGGCATGTGGAGGCCGAAGGCCTGGGAGACTCTCCAGCTGAACTTCACTTCATGGCTGTGAAGCTTCCACTAAGTCTCACTAAGTCCCTGGCGACCAAACGTGTGCAGTATCGCGTCAAATTCTCTGTCTTGAGAATCTGGTGCACCACAGATTCCCAGCTCTTGGTTGGACAGCCTCCGGCCTCCGGCGTGTACATCTGAGACTCGATGATAGGCTGGGCCGCGGTCTCAAAGGCCTGACGCCGACTTGAGAACTTCAGCATGCATGGCGTGAAGATAAAGCTGTGCTTGAAAGAAAAGCTGGCTCACGATGGAAGCATAAGACGGGATCGGTCACGTCACTGGCCACATCTATCCGCGGTAAAGTGAACGCCCAGCATGCACAGGCATGCGTGCAGACATTGGTTACCAATCCGTACTTGTTTGGTTGTTGAGCAGCTGCGGAAAATCTGATGATCTCGCACAGCGCTCCAGTCTCGGGTTCCAAAGATGGGTCGTCGTGCTAGTGTGCAGCGCTGATCGTGGATACCGTGTCTGGGTTTCTCAACGACGGACTGCAGATTCAGCCACCTCGCGGTGCGGCCGTTGTTTCTGTCTGTCATAGATCCTTTGGACCTAAGGCATCGTCAGCATCACTAAGGCCTGGGAATCCTGCTTTGTGTTAACACCCAATTCTCTGCCTTTGGCTCTCTTGCATCTTCTATGCCGAATAAGGTCGGCGCGGTCTTCTTGCCCTGGATGCAGGACAGACAGAAGCGCTTCAGTATGTATCGCCATGAGTGCCGTCCTTGACCTGATAGGAGAGGCCACGCGCACCTCCGACCAGGCCAAGCCTTGCCAGACAGTTTGCTTCCGAGCCTTTGCGAGTTCTTTTGCGATTCTTTCGACTTGCAAAGCCCTCCAGCATTCGCCTCTGGAACGGAGCTCCGAATGCCGCGCAGCGGCCTCTAGCAACACGCGACAAGCCGAGGCGAGGCTTCTGAGCACAAAGCCGAGATGCAGAGCTTCTGCCGCATTGCTGACGGAGTGCATGCCACATGGCAGAGATTTGCAGAGTATGCAATGGCTGTCCTGCGATCAGGGGGTGCAACCGTGCTTTACGAGATCTGCAAGCTTTGCGTGCGTCAAGCTTGTCTTTGGCTTTGGCTTGAAGAGGCCCCAAGCTTGCTCGAGCCATCATCTACTGCATCGAGCCTGCACCTCGAAGGCTGCGGATGCTGCAGCAAGCTCACGACAGCAAGCAGGATCTTCAGGCATTCGTGATTTTCGCGCATCGGCCGTTCGTCTTACGGTGCGTAGCGCCGTCTGCATAGTAGCCTCCAGGCCTGGGGATGCCGCCGCACAAGGGTGCTTGGAGTCGGCCCAGCTGCAAAGGGCGGCTGGACTTGGGAAGCTTATCACAATCACGGGATTAGCGCTCGTTTCCGTGCTGCTCTCAGACGCTGCCATGTGCGAAGATGTCAAAAGCAAATAGCTTCGGTCATAAGAACAGATCGCGTGGCAAAGGGTGCCTCCGCTACAGCTGACGCAAGTAGCGACTGTGACCTGAGACGGCATGCGACTGCGATAGAGACTGCGGAGAAAGACTGCAGCTGTGCTGTTCGATGCAAGGGCCAGGGCCCCCACTGGCTCTGGAGCCTGGACAACCGCTGCTCGACCTGTGCAGGTGCCTTCCAAGACTTCCAAGCTGGGGCAGTGAGCTCAGTGCCTCTTCCCGAGTCGCAGCTTCTACCTGCAATCGGATCGCGTGAGAGGGCCTAAAGGGCCTAAAGATCTCTCGGGTCCAGGACTCGGGGCATTTGCAGCGATAGGTGAGGACACTGCAGTCCCACTGATCGCCAGGTCGTCTTCGAACATCACAGTTCCCATGGTTCCTGCACGCTCCTGGTCCCAGGGGTGCGCACGGAGGCAGATCGCAAAGCATGCGGAAGCACTCCTGGAAAGGGCGATCGAGGCTTTCTTGCACGTTGAAGCGTCGAGGATACTGCAGGTGCAATTCTCTCTGTTGAGCCTTTGAGCTCATATCCGGTAATCACAACACGGTGACGAGGTCAGGTGGCCTCTCCAAAAGACCTGGCAAGCGGGCGCTGCAGAACAGAATACACTCACACCCCTTCCAGTAGCGGACAACATGCTGGCTTTGCGGCACCATTACGCGAATGCGCAGCTGATGGTATGCCGATGGTCTACGGAACCATTTTGAGACACGGTACAGCTTTACCGGCCGTAAGGTATTTGATTGAACTAGGTTGAACGAGCAAGGTTTGTTGGCGAGCGGCCCATGTTGAAACTGCATCTTCGAAATACAGCTGAAGCCTCGATCGCACGCATCCAGCACACAGGCTTCAACACAGCTAGGCACGTGTGGGACGCACTAGTCTGCCGCCACATCGTATATGGTCTTTGCCACGCAGATGCGATTGCAGCTGCTTTTTCGATGGCACGCAACATCCCAGCAGCGATGCAACATAGCCTAAAGCTCGCCAAGGCTAGGTCGCTCGTTGTTTCACGGGCCTACGGCCTAGCCGGCCTAGCCAAGAGCGTCAATCCAGGAAATTCTCCGTGGAGTCGTTCTCTTCTTCGCTCGAGCAGCAAGCCCACGTGAACTCAGGAGACAAGCTACTTCTCGTGCCCTTGCAAAAGCAACACCATGCTGAGGCTCAAGCCATGCCCATAGAAACAAGGAGTAGCACAACACCAGTGCCTGAGCAATTACTAGTTGCACAATTGGGCGGACCGGTAAGTCAACAGACAAACCCCCCCGGGCCAACTGTATCACCATGCACATCCTGCATGCTCCCCCTCACGCACCCGTGCATCCATCTGCACCTCAGCGTCCCCCAGGCACGCACCCCTGCACGGAACTCTGCATGCCGCTGCAGCTCGACAGCACCTCCAGAGGTAAACGTGACCTGGAAACTTTCTCGAGAACACAGAGTCGAGGTTTGGCAAAGCCCACCAGGCCGCATCGCCCTGGCTCCGGAGCGACCCGCGGCTCGAGAAGAACCCCTCACACTGTGGAAACTCTTCGCCAAGAGTACTGGACGGGTCGCAAACTGCTGTCTGCTACGCTTCGAGAAACCCTGCAAGATCTTTGGAGACTTGTTCTGGCGACGAAATCTTGGCCGCAAGCAGCCTAACACGAAGCCAAGATGTTGCATAGAGTCCTCCTTCAGCTGGCACTGGGCTGCCGGTGGTGGAGAGCCTGCTGACATCTGCTCACTGTCCTGTCGAAGATGTTCTTCAACAGGACTGTCTAGACCTGCCCAGAGCCACCACTCAGGAGCAACAGTCATGTTGTTCTGCCCCGTTGAGGACGGCACTTGTAGAAGCTTGCGCCGTGAGCTGGGTGGAATGATGATGCTCTGGACCTCTCGCTTTGAAGTTGGTTATGTTGGTTGGACAGATTCACATCCTTTCTCTTGCAGCGGAAAGGTGCGTCTGAGTAGGCGAGTCTTAGACCGGCACAGTTTGCAACTTCCACCCCGAGCTTCGAGGACGCGGTGTCGAAGACCAAGAGCTTGTGCATGAAAAACGAGATCTGGCTTGGTGCAGCAGGTAGCTGCCAGCTCGTGTCCGCAGTGGCAGAGCACAATTCCGGCTGCAGACTCTCAAGTCTGGTGGACAGGCTTTGCGAATCCCCACAAACTGCATGGAGTTGGCATCGTGCAGGGCTTCTTGTCGTTTTTGAATTGCAAGATTCACTTTACGGAAACTCGCCGCTGCGGCTCCCAGCACCGTCTCCTTGGAAAACCCGTTGCTCGCAAAGGCCAAGCACCTGCCACGCGTGGCTCAACTTATCTTGGCTTTCCAGAACGGTTTGTCGGTGATGCCACAACGCTGCAATCGGCACCAGGCTTCGAATCCATCAACCCCGCGCATGCCACGTCGAAAGAGGTAAGCATTCGCAGGCCAGCCTTCATTGCGACGAAAAGCCCCAGAAATGATGCGGTTGAAGACCACGTGAAAGAGAGAAATTGAGAGAGGAAACGAGGCTACACATCTGCTGGAAGCACATGGGAATGTGCGCAAGACAGCACGCAGAAAGAAAACGACCCTTGCTTGCTGTGTCTTGCTGTCCTGGGTCGCCTGCTGACTGATATGTCAGCTCCTCCATTTCCGCCAGCGAAGGTCTGCACATTGTATGGGTATTCTATGTGATGCGTCTGCTGTACGTTGCACAAAACAGAAGAGGCACCAGAATGATCGGTGCGAACTTTGCAGGGCCTCAGACATGTGCAGCAGAGTCTCCAAGTTACTTGCGGCTCAAATGCGGGCCTCAGGCGCAGGCGGCTTCCTGTAGGCAACAGCCAGCAGTCCTTTCCTGCACTCGATGAGGATCACATTCAGCCATGGCACCGGCAACGACGAGCTGGCGGAGTCCTGCTGATCTTGCCCCGCACCGTGAGCCTCTAGATCAGCAGGCGATATTGCGACATCCAACAAGACTGCGGAAAGGACAGCTAACAGCCACTTGGAGGGTACCTTGACACGTTGCTGCGACACTTTGGCGCAACGTTTCAAACACCTGACCATTCTGCAACAAACCACACTGTGACAAACAAGGAGTGGCTGGGGTGCCAAAGAGTGACCTTCGCCGGAAAGTAGGTGAATGTCGTGCCGCTGTCCACGACAGTACGTCCTGTGAATTCCTGGAAGGAAACGGATCCGTTGCCACAACGGCAATGCAATACGATGCAGTCCGCCTCCGAGTTGGCAACGACCTGACTTCCAAACCTGTATGGCATCAGTTGGGATCTTGACACAGCTTGGAACTTCCGCTATGCAAGACAGCGATGCTTCAAACAGGAAAGGAAGGCAGAATTGATCTCAAATCCACGCCATAGTACCTGCATTTATAGCGTGGGTGGGTGGGTTTGTGGGTGGGTGTGTGTGGTGGGTGTCATGCAACACGCTAGTAGCTATGGGAGAAGATCGTGTACTGCACAGGCGTAGACAAATATTCGATGTAGTACGAATTATGTGGAACCTAGGAAGCTGAGATGAAGCATGATAAAGCTAAGAGGAGTGCATGTGGATTTCCCTACATCTTGCTTTGGTTCCCCTTGCGTCATTTTATTACTTGCTAGTCGGGGACGGGCGTGATGCACAAACATGCACAGCTACAGACGCTGTCCTTAAAAAGTCCACAATCATTTAACATGGCAATATTAATAAGACTATGATCGGACCCTATGTTCTGTCTCCTGCCTCACATTGCTGACACGTCAGTCCTAAGGACATGCATGAACGGAGCCTTTCTTCCTCTTCCCGCCCCCGTCTCGGAATACATGAATAGAGGCATGTGGGCCAAAAGGATTGAATGCCGGGGGGGTCCATGTGTGTCTGCGTATGTATAGAACATAGTTAAGCTTGTTCAAGGACTTGGCAACATGCTAACTCATTCATGAACTTGCGTATAACCTTGTATACGTCAATGTGTATGCTGCGGCGCACCCTGCATGGTGCAAGGGAAGCCATTGCATCCGGCTGCCAAGTGCTGCGTACCTTGTGTCATAGCCTCAGCTTGGATGCACTCACGGTGTACACCTGTCCAGAAGTTTCTGGGGTCTCTGCCACCCACACTCAACTCTCCACCCCATTCTCCCAGGCAAATGGCAAAGACCTCGAATAAGGTGGCTGAACGAGCTCTGGCTCCACATTGCACGAGCCGGGAAGTGCGGTTGGACTTGCAAGACTCAGCGCATGAACGGCAGTGTTGACATGGGCTTTGTCTTTGAAAAGATCCTGCTCGCGGCAGACTGCCGAGACCAGAGACACATTCACATGCGGCTCCTTCAGCACATTGGACCTTCCAGTGATGCCATGGGGGGCCAAGCCAAAGATGCCGTTCACCTTCGAATTGTCTCATTCAGCATAGGCAGGTACTTTCAGCGCATCAGTCACGGAACGCTACTGGTAACTTGCCAAGCACCCGATACGACGTCCATCCCCTTACTGGCCGGTGTCACAGCACCGGAGGAGCCCGAGCACGACAACATCAAAGTCCGCAACAGTTCAACTGAACATTCCAACCTTCTGGGTGTAGAAAAGCTTCCGCCTGAGCTGACTGATGTGTGGTCCCGACGATTTGCAGAAGGAAAAGGCGCTGCGCCAAGTTTCCGGCTCGTCCAAATGGCAGCCCAAGGAGGCTTCAACCGGGTGGTTATCGGCATCAGACTCAGAATTGCAGCGTGTCGGCGAGCCAAGAGTCATGCAGGATGTAGTTGACAGCTCTTTTCCCGAATGTCAGACAACGTTGCGACATCACTGAAGCTTTCTGAAGGACAGAGTCGCATCTTTCGAATATAGCGAGACGCAGCTTGCTCCGCGCCGAACACTCTCTCATGCAAGTTATGTAATCATCAGGTGCGTTTCTAGGACCGGTGATATCAACAAGCCTGCGGCGCTGGGAAAACTGCTTTAAAGAAGTTATCGTCTGACTCCTGTCAGGCTACCTGCTTTTCCCTCTACATGCTTCTCAACCTTCATCTATGCAACTTCAGCCGACACAGCAGGTTTATGCATCCTTGCCTGCTCCTAGTGCCAACCTTTCACTGCCCCCCTCAATAGCCTTCATGTTGGCAAGGTCTTCCTGAGACACAAAGTAGTCCTCACCCTCGTCATCATCAACTTCTTCTTCGATTGGAGGAAGCTCCTTCATCATGTGAGTCACACCTTCAGCGTCAGTGTCGCTGACTGCAGCATATCCCACCGATTCATAGAGCAACCTAGCAGGCTTGTACTCGTCAATGTGCAAGTACATCTTGCTGTCTTTCCAAATGTACCTGACCACATCCTCCGCCACTCTGAGCAATGCTTTTCCAATACCTGACCGTCGGAAGGGAGGAGCAACACAAAGGTTGCTCAAGTATGGTTGCTTGGTGACTCCCTCAGGGAGGCTCTCATCATCATCTTCAGGTCGACGGCCATCGTTTGCAAGGACACAAAGCTCCACATAAGCAACCAAGGGGCCCTGCTTTGCTCGGGCCACCAGTGCCATGCTCTCGTCCTGCTTAACCGGACGGCGAAGGTTTTGATATTGCAGGGATACGTCAAGTCGCATCTGCATCCCCTTGGCAATCTTGTCGGTCTCGTCGGCATCAATGAAGGCGTTAGCATACTCTGCGAAGGGGTTAGACTCATCCCAGCGCTTCTTGGCTAGCGTGCGATCGAAAGAGTCGACCATCAAAGAAGTCATCTCTTCCAGGTCACTCATATCGGGCATGCCAACCTCGAGATCGGCCTCTTCTAACCGCTGAAGCGTCTCCTTATCTATTTTCTGCATCAGACCTTCACCTGTAGGTATGCGCGAGAGGGTTATAGCCGATACAGAGATGCGCCGCAATTTCCGCCCAGGCGTCCCTGTAGGAGATCTTGCTACAGGCCCAACGAAGCCCAGTGGCAAGCAAACCAAACCTGCCAGGCCGAACAAGACCACATGGAGATTCTGCCTGCGCCGGAAGTCCATAGCGACCGAGGAAAGACTTTTCTTGTAGAGCACACTTCTGCGGTGCACTTCGTGCAAGCTTCTGCCTGACTGCATACGTGGGCTACTTAACACACAGAACGAATGTCGATTCTGAAAATGCTTTGCACACAGTTGTGTTACTGCACCGGAGGGCGCAGGGTGTGTCGCCAGCTGTGCCACAGATTGCCACAGATTCGCAGCGAGTGAAGCAAGTAGACAGAAGGGCTGATCTGCATCGGCATGCTGAGTGCCGATCACCGTTGAGCATCACGAGGTCACGGAACCAGATGCCAGAAATACTGCTTCCTGCAGGGGGGGCAGACGCGGCTACGATGGGCTAAGGATGCAGCCGACTGTGCTGAACAACTCTGAATCCTTCAGAGTAGGATTGCAAGTACCCGCACCGAGCTGCATCACAACGATTGCAGTCTGGACCTGTGCTCGGTGCAGGGCACCTACTTCATGGGAGCTCAACAGGCTGCGCACCACATGGCAACGTTCTGGATGTGTTTGAGGCCTGACGAAGCCACGAAACAAACGGATGCGGAATTAGGCAGCGCCCGCATACGGCCTCTATGTCAAAAGGGGGATCGAGATGATTTCCACAGTGGCCTGGCAAGAAAGCATGGAAGCTTGTCATAACGGCTTGCCGGCAAAAGTGCCGGATCGGCTACAGCCGGCACATGGGAAACCTCGTCTGCTCACATCGTCAGCGTGCAGTGATCCCTACACCAACACAATCTGCTCTGTCTGCTCACGGCAAAGGAAAGTTGCAGAAAGTCAGTTGTGTTGAAAATCTGTCTTTCAAGAACTGGGGATGCGACCACAGAGTGCACTACCGGTGTCAACTATGACCTGAATTCAGAGCGTCGGTTGAACCTACAAGAGCAGCGGCGTACTGGCGCTCCGGGGTTTGATTCGCACGTTCGCAAATGAAAACAGTTACTTGCAGGCATTTGCAGAGGAGCCGTTTAACCGTGTATGGGGCACAGGCCCGTTGAGTGCCTTGGTATCACTGCAGCTACTGAGTAACTACTTGTTGAAGCACGGCGACGACGCGTTTCCTGAGAGGCTCAGTCTTGCTCGAACACCATGGTGGTGCTGAAATCTGCAGGCTGCAGCTAAGGCTCTCGCTGATGCTGATTGAGGTGGCGTTCCCACAAGCAATTCCTGACATCAATAGGACTGTCGAAATCTGACAAGCATTCTATGATGCGATCCTGAAGCTTTGCTGAGGCGGCAGCTGCGAAAAAGTATGCATATGCGTTGATGTTGCCGAAGAGCTTTGTTCGCTCAACCTGGCATCCAGTGGATCAGAAAACGTCCGTGGAGAGTGCTCTATTGCCTCTACTGAATAGCTCTCTCTTTCTTCCTTAATAGCTCTCTCTCACTTTCAGTCGCGCAGAGCAAGTCCACAAGTGAGACTACTCGCCAGCAGCCCTTTCAGCTGGTCAACGTAAAACTTCTAAACTGGCCCAAGCCTTCCTATTTTGAGCTCATGGCTGTAGAGTCCTCCCAAGGTCTGTGTTACCAAAAAATCTGGTGATTTATTTCGTGATATATTGGGTGGGATCTGGGGATCAAGACATTCCTGGACAGAATCTGGTGCCTCTGGTAGGCCTGGGTCATAGTGAGTTGTGGCCCGGACCTTTCTCTACGCAATTTGCGGTATGCATGTGCCATCTGAAAAACAGCTATATGTTTGAGAGAGTTTGCATGTCGAAGGATATGTCCTGAAAATTTGGTTCGAGAAGACAAATGATTTGCTGAGACGGGGATAGGAGTTTAGGAGCATATTCATACGCCGAGCAATTCGCATTTTGAGGTAGAAGGAGCTTTGAATATTGAAGATCTGTCTTAGGACCTTATCGTGTAGCATGTTCAACTTATAGTGAAATGTGATTGAAGATACATCCGCGATTCAGAGCCGTACAGTAGGATAGCAAGTACAAATCGGGAGTGAATTAGAAGCTTCCACCTGACGGTGATTGAAGGGTGCTTGAAAAAGTCATGCAGGAATTTAGCCGCATGGGCTGCCTGAGCGGCCTGAGCGTGGCGTTTTTAAGCGCTCGCCTTAGCCGAGGAATTGTATGTCAGCACCTGGCCAGGTGATCTGCATGTGGTTTGGGATCGATACATAGGTCTTTTGGGAGATATGGTGAATCTTTGGCCAGACAGAAGTCGCACTGGCAAGGGTGATGGGGGGCATCGATAAGACGTATGGGTAGCTCCGAATTGATAGTCAGTAGTGGGCATTTTTCGTGGTTGAGTGACATTCCTCTCTTGACCGAATGGGCTTGTAACGGCTTGTAATGTGCGCAGAAAGCGATGCAGTGATTGGCCGTGATAATCTGGGTATCGGCTGCATACTCCACATCGGTAAGCCCAAAATCTGACGTTCAGACTGATGGTCCGAGGCCGCATGTGGTCGTGCAGGCCACATACGTGTCATGGAAAAGTATCGATAAGGTGACTTCGAACAGATATGGTGACAAGGGGCATCCCTGACGGATGCCTTGTGAAATTTTCTGGAATGTGACATGTAGCCGGACTCTTTGACCGTGAAAAGACAATCCTGGTATATGGAGAGATATGGAAAGTATAGGTTCCGCGAATTGTGGCGGGACTCCTATTCATATTCGGAGCAGTGCATGCCTTAAGGCCGAATCGGATACCGAGCCAAGGCCGAATGGGATACCGAGCCAAAGCCTGTGACCAGTCCAGGAAAGAGCATAGAATGATTTTTGATGTTTTCCTGTAGTTCACGGAGATGCCGTAGTACAAACAGCGGTGTCGAGGTAGAATTGCCCGCACCAGAGCCGAACTGAACTGGGGAAATGTGTCATCGATACCTGTTTTAAATCGAGAGTGCAACAGGCATGCGTAAATGGGTCTAAAGAGCGCTGTGAAAGTAAAGTCGGGCACGGAACTGCGGAAGAGAAATCGTAGTCCAAGTCTGCGGAAAGCGATGCAAAGCACTGCGCAAGAAGCGCGGGTGATGGGTCAAGGACCCTTCTCTTCTCTGTGCTTGTGCCAAACGCCTTCTATTGAATAGAAGCACCTGCAACAACTCATCATTTCAATTTTCAATCAAGCTAAGACACCCCGTTGTCTGGAGCGGCTGCTGCGCAGAAACTCCTGGCACGGCTAGTTGCAGACATACGGATTTCACAAACACAAACAGCGCAGGGCAGGTACCTGAAGCCCACGAGCAACAGGACATGTACCTAGCAAGCAAGGACAAGCTTATCTCCGACCTGGTGCGGGACCATAACAACACGATCAGCTCCAGACAACCTTCTGTGCCATTCCATGTCGCGACCCGTCTCTTACACCCGTATCCTCTACAGTTTCAGGACTATTTGGAGGAGGGTGCTCAGTTGGGCAAGGGACGGTCGGCGGCTCTGATTAAGCAAGCTCGATCATGAGAAAGTCTTTCACCATCAGGGATTGAATAGACCCTTCTCTGCTTGAGGTGAGTCTCAAACGCGGCAACTTAGAATATTCTATATTTCTAGCATTTACAGACTTGGAACCACTCAAGCACAGTACGACAGGTAGGTCGCAGTAGTGCTGCATAAAGGTCCATCACTGGTCCAATCATACCAGGCTATACATCGGCTGCCCATGCCCTCCAGGCAGGTCAACCAAAAGCTGGCTCCGTTTTGAGCTTCGCGTCTTCCGGCTGTGGAAATCATTGGCCAGGAAGGCAGAAGCACGGCACATGCGAAGGTGTCGAGATCGGCAACGGCAAAAAAACAGGCATGAAGTTCTGTGTTTACATGCATCGACACACGCCGCATGCACATCCAGGTCTGTCGTAGAAAAACACCTCACTGCTCATATGCATACAGCGGCTATGACCTGAAGGTGCACGGAAAATCACTCTAAAAACATCTAAACGACGTCACCGAGTGAAAAGAACGATGCTCGAGATGCATCTGTCAAAATGCGACTGCCGGAGACGTGTGTTGATAAGCCTTCAAGAGATGTGCCAGCTGTCCTGGAGCCTGCGGCTTGTGAGTCGAGAGCAGCGAAGCATGTCTGAAACACGCGTAGCCATGAGCTAGCGCCGCACTTTCGTCCGTCCGCAAAGTCGGCACTGTGCCATTTGGCACGTGCTGCGTCCCGCTCACTGCGGCTTTGATGCGATTGCAACCGCGCGTGGCAAATGCGGCGCAGCCGCCCAGGCAGCACATTGGCCGAAGCTTTCAGGCTCTCAGCTTTAAGGCGAACCATCTCCTGCAGAAAACTTCTTTAAAGAAGGCCAACATCTTGGGTTCCTGAAAGCACGGCCTCGCAGAACTCGATCATGGGCCTTTCTGGCCTGGATGCTCAACTTGGATCTCAAAATGTGTGTCATGTCGGCGAGCCGGCGAGCCTTGATGCTCAAGATCAAGGACTTGCCTTGCAGGGAGCGGAACGACCCTTTGCGACACTCTCTGGCAGCCGAGCCAGACAGCTAGGCAAGTGTCGAGTAAGCTCTACGCGCTGGCTAGTGTTCAGCTCGAACTGGGCCCATCGCCTCTCAAATGCCAACTAAGCTGAAGGCTTGAAAGCAGTGATGTAGTGACGTCCCTGAGTCTCTTTGGCTCAAAATCTAAGGAAGTTCGAAGGAATTGTACCGCCGAGCCTCGGAAAGGACTCTGTGGATTTCACCATCTCTTCGAGGACTTCCGTCTGGCCGAGCTGTGCAACTTGCCACTGGCGACATGACTGCGGCGGGTGCCTGTCTCTTCAATACTTCATCTATCTCTCTCCTCATATCTTCACTCCTAAGGTGTTACGGTGTCGATACGCGGCTTGGCACTGCAGTTTAGCTTTGAGCACTTTGAGCTTGGGGCCCGGGGTCCCCTGCGAGATCATCTGCGCTCTTGACTTGCTCCTTCAGAGCAGCCTCGAGTGACAATGTGGAGCTCAACGCAGCATCAATCAAGACAGGAACAGTCACCGAGCTTCAGTCCAGCCCACGCAGCACCGTCGCAACTTCCTCCTTTAGTCTCTGGGCTTGTGCCTGACAGACTATCTAGTTCTCAGATTCCAAGCCAGGCAAAGAATCGTTGCCTCCGTGCGAGAGATTCGTCTCTCCAACGAACTTGGAAAGGTCGAAAGAACGGGTGTCCGAACGTCATCGCTCGCGATATCGAGGCCCGGACTCCGGCTCTTGTGCCCAACCATCAGCCGACAAGTCCATTATGAAGAGACAGAGACTAAGAGGTCACGAGAATTTGATGCCGTAGTAGTGCCGCAAAAAGCTACAACTCAAGTTTGATTGCCGGGCGCTTGAATTTCGTGCTGAGGCCGAAAGCTGCGGGTTCTGGGGAGCGAGAGGACTTCCAGGTAGTACGCCATGCTGCGCTATCTTGAGGAAGGGAGCAGCAGAGCAGTCTTAAGAGCTCCTCGCTGGTCTTCAAGATGCATCGGGGGGTCGGAGGTGGCAGATCCTTGGGTGGCAAGTCGACCGAATACTTCGCGACCAGAACGAACTGAGAAACAACCAGAAAGGCTGTCAGGGCACAGGCAGTGCGTGCCTTAGCGCTGCTAAAGATAAATTCACTCATGCTTGCGCAGGTCGACAGCATGAAAAACTAACCCTGTGTTGACGCATGGCCTTCTTCGCATCAGGCTCAACTTTCTCAGCAGCGCCTGACCTTCAGAAGAGAACACTGTTCTACTCAACCACAACAACACACCCCCAGCTAAACCACCACCACCCCGACCACCCCCACTACCCCTACCAACCCACTCTCATATTATGGGCGGACATATGAAATTCTCATGCAGCAGCTCCGAGCGAACTCAAGTCGGTGGAATGAGAGGAGTGTCTTGCACGTTGGCAGCCTCACTAGACGGCTCCAAAGTGGCCGTCTATGGGTATGCGTATGGAAAGTTAGGGGCTGTGAGCCGTAGAGAGTCTCGAGGACTTTTGAAAGCCCAGTGCCAAGCTACGCAAGTGCACTGTTATGTCCAGTTGGGACCTTGCGGAGGCAGTTTGAGTGGAAAGCCTCAAGGCGCTTGTAATCTACTCTGGTGAAGGCCAGGGATTCCAGCTCATATGTGATCTATACATGCACATACATGCACCAGGTTGGTAACAGCCAGCACATCCGGACAAGAGCAGGCATTCCCCATCAGATTCCAGTGTCCACCTGTCGCGGTTTGTGCAGGTACGATGACATGGTGGAACTTCTTGTGGGCACTTTGAGCGCGTGCTACACCTCGTAACCACCTAGCCCCTGAACATTCAAGAACTAGAATGAATGGGAATCAAGCAGGCTTCTTGTTCGACTCTGGGAATCTCTGGGAAATGAAAAACGAACAAGTACAGTACGAACATGTGCTCGCTGATGAGGGCGTTCTTCTTTGCTTGGCGCAGGTACGTACAGGCACACTCCCAACAGTGACAGAAGGAAGTGTGTGAGCGCCGGTGGGCTGCCTTTCAGCAAATCGGAAACCGTGAGCGCAAGTTGCTCACAACTTTTTCAGGTCGGAACTGACTCTGTATCCAAGCGTGCTATCACAATGTCCAGAAGTAGCCCGGCTGGGGCATGAGCGATTGAGATGCAGTCTTGTAGCTTTGACCGTAGGCCTGCAGGTGCTTCACTGACCCACACCGATTGCATGCAGCTCCTCATTGCTGTGCAGATCAGCCTGCACGTGAACGCCTGCAACTGCCTTAGCCAAGCCCAACACGAGGCTGTCAAGTCATCCAGGGCTGAGGATAGTCGGTCATGTCGGTCAGTGTCGGTCAATATCACGTTCTTGCACATACTGGTAGCCAGCCTATTTGAATGTGTGATGGCAGAACTTGGGCGTTGGCACGGCCAGATGCATCTGCACGGCCCTGAAATGCTTTGTCCCATTTCAGCGCAACCTGCGTGAGATTCTGGTTGAAAAAGCTTTACCAGAATAGAATCGTCGACACTAGGCAGCTATGCTGCGACTTGTTCTTGGACCTTATACCTCCAAGTCAGCACAAGCTGTGGCTATCTGGTGTCTTGCAGCATGGGCGGTTTACAAAATCATGATACAAGCAAAAGTGGCCAAGCTAGAGGGTAAAGGAGAATCTAGCCTGATCCTATGATGCGTAACTACACCAATAAGAATAACAGAGAACGTCTGACAAGCTGATTTCCTGGCGTTCTGTGAAGGCATTATCAGTCAGTCAGTGCCCAGGCTGCGCCTCACTGGAGCATGCGATCGAATCTTGCCAACCCACCTGAGATGAAGATGTGAACCGGACATAGCATCATGTGCTTGCTGCACACTTTGCGGGCCGCTAGGGCCGATGCACATCCAGCGGCCGCCGAATTCTCACCGTAGTGCTTGGCAAAGAGTTGCCGGAACAAGTATGCCTCGGGTCGGGGTAGGCAGGCTAAATAAAGCACAGTAGCAGATTGCAACAAGATCCATTGCATCTCAAGTTTTTGGCCTCCTTTGTTCGCGGGGTTTTGACCGGAAATCCTTGGTCATGCCAAGAACAGAACCGAAGCGAACCAGGACCCAGGATGGAAGGCCCCTCTGTGCTTCAAAGCGACTGTGAGGCGCGGTTGCCATCTGCCTGATCTCAGTGCTTGCACGCTTCGGCCTACAAAAACCGCGTCAGTCGAGGGGCTGATCAGTCACCATCTTCTCTGCATGGGCCTTGCGGCAAGCACTGACAGGCCGCAGGTCACCGCCATGCTGCCACCTTGATGGAATCAATCCAGCTGTAGCCGACGCCGTCGCTGAACTGCTCCTACAACTTCAGCCAGAAGTTTGAACGGCACACAACATAGAAGTACTTAAGAAGGGGGTTAACCAAGCTCGGGGAAGAGAAGCAAGCTGACCCCGGCAAGCTGTCAAAACCAATCCGCGTGGCGCACTGTGTCGCTTGCAGTAGGTGCTTCCCGGACATATGCAATTCTTCGCTGTGCAGTTCCGCTGAACCAGCAGTCCCATTGGTTTGAGGGGTTTGCAGGGATGAGAGGCCAGATGCGTGTGTTGGCCTGGACTAGACAACGTGTTTCTACCAAGCAATGTCGCAATTGAACGCTGTGTGATTTAAACAAACATCGACTGCTGCAAGCTCCTGAATGAAGAGCTAGCTTTCGTCACAAAGCTTCAGTCTTCCAGACAAAGACAACTCCGATGCGACTACATCACCCTTCCTTCTGTCGCCATAGAACTTCTTGTGGCAAGTAGGCCCGTTCACTTGGCAAGTCGAAGGCCTGACCAGAGCGTGGAGAGACACAGGAGGTGCCGACGACACAACTTCAATAACTGATCTTCAAGACGCTTGTTCGCAGAAACATGCCTTCCGGAGAATC